GTTCACTCTTGAGATTTAACTTCGTAATTACATTTTAAAGTTTTTTTTTTTTTTTGAAAATCTGGCATTAGGAAATTAAACCTGCTTTACAGCCTTCAATTTCTCAAGAGCAAAACGGTTTTTAAAGAATTCTTGTCCTTCTGTACTTCAGAATAATTTGAGTTTCTGATACTGAAATGTAAACAGCTGAGGGTGAAAGTGAATGTTCTACCACAAGGCTGACATTTTTAATTTGCATTTTTCCAGCCTCTTTTCTTTATTTCATTTTTTAAGATTTATTTTGTTTGAAGTCAGAGTTACAGAGAGACAGAGAGAGAAAAAGATATCTTCCATCTGCTGATTCACTCCCTAATTGGCCACAACAACCAGTACTGGGGCAGGCCAAAGCCGGGAGCTAGGAGCTTATTCCAGGGTTGCTACATGGGTGCCAGGGGCCCAAACACTTGGGCCATCTTCCACTGCTTTTCCCAGGCCATTAGCTTAGAGCTGGATCAGAAGTAGAGCATCCAGCACACAAACAGGCGCCCATATGGGATGCTTTGTGTCACAGGTGGCAGCTTTACATACTGTGCCACAAGCATTGGCCCCTCCAGCCTTTCTCACTTTTTATAATGTCTCATGTATTTCCAAGTTTGTAGATAGTTTTATCACTGTAACTAAGTCTCTCTGAAGAATTTCTGGTCATTTAAGTATCATAAATAGTGTTACTATAAATATCCTTGTATTATATTATTTGTACATCCATGTAAGAGTAATATTTTATCGAGAATGCGTTGAAGGCTGAGACCTCCTATAAGATTTTTGTACGTTCTGTTACTTCAGTGTCTATAAAGTATTTTTCTAGTCTTTTTTTCTTCCCAAATCCCAGTTGCTTGTACTCTCACCTTCACTCTCTACACAAGGGGACTCCAAAAAGTTCATAAACAAATGGAATTAAAAAATAAAATTGGTGCCGGCCCCACAGCTCACTTAGCTAATCCTCCTCTGCGGCGCCGGCACACCGGGTTCTAGTCCTGGTCGGGGCGCCGGGTTCTGTCCCGGTTGCCCCTCTTCCAGGCCAGCTCTCTGCTGTGGCCCGGGAGTGCAGTGGAGGATGGCCCAAGTGCTTGGGCCCTGCACCCCATGGGAGACCAGGAGAAGCACCTGGCTCCTGGCTTCTGATCAGCGCAGCGCGCCAGCCGCAGCACACCAGCCATAGCACACCAGCCATGGCGGCCATTTTGAGGGTGAAACAATGGAAAAAGGAAAACCTTTCTCTCTGTCTCTCTCTCTCTCTCACTGTCTAACTCTGTCAAAAAAAAAAAAAAAAAAAAAAAAAACAAGAAAGATAAATATGGAGCTGGCAGTGTGACACAGTGGTTAAAGTGATCACTTGCGATACTTCAAGTCCCAGCTGTTCCCCTTCCAATCCAGTTTCCTGCTGATGTGCCTGGGGAGGCAGCAGAAGATTGCCTGAGTGCCTAGGCCCCCGCCACCCATGTAGGAGACCAGAATGGAGTTCCTGACTCCTAGCTTCAACCCAGACCTTGCTGTTTTAGCCATTAGGGGGTGAAGCAGCAGAGGATGTCTCCTTCATCTCTCTCTTTCTCTCTCTCTCTCTCTCTCCCCCCCCAGCCCTCCCTTTCTTCTTTCAAATAAATAAATCTCTTTTAAAAAGATAAATTTATCATTTTACATATGAACTTTGAAATTCATACATAGGTTTTCTTCACAATATGCATTTTTCTACGAACTATTTGAAGACCTCTCATATTTTGCTAAATTTATGAATTAATATGTAATTTCATGATGGTTATAGTTTTCAGTTTGTTAATTTGGGAAATTAAAGATTTTTCTTATTTTTCTTATTTTTGTTTCTTGGATTTTTATCAGGGGTAGGGGATTTGTTCTTCTTCCTTTGGAATTGCTTGCCCACATTGTCACGCTGAAGTTTTCTTTTAGTAGAGTATTTATTTTTCTACTCGATAATATTTTCCCTGTTGTATTCCAGGGAAATTGCACTTTAAGAATTATACCTCTAAAATTAAACAATCTGTTTCCTTGTGCTTTTTCTTGACTTGTGTTTTCTATTTACTGGCAAATAGATTCAAGAGAAAGTACAAATACTTCTCCAGTACTGATTTAGCTGTGCAGTGATATATAAATGTTATTACTAGACATCTGAAGTAACTTTGGATCAGGCTAAATCTGTGTGAGGCAAGTCACTTAATGCTGGGAGAGCCACATCCCAGTTTCCTCTATAAAAAAGATTGAGTTACTTGGAAATCAAGGATTTTACATTTAAATATCAATGATAATATTTTGACACACAATAGATGCCTAATAGATGGCTCTTTTATTATTAGCCCCATTTAGGTATTGTATCCCAACAGGTCCCTTATTATAAACATTTTGCAAACTGCAGATCCCAAATCATTAGTGGATTGTGAAACTACTGTGCACAATTTGGAAGTACTGCTAGACTGCCTTGGGAGAAATGAAGAGTGGAAATGAATGAATCAGAGTATTTTGCATGTGGGAGGGGCAAGTATATTTATGTGACACTTTTGTTCAGTATATAATATACAGGCAAACTGTGTATACTGGATTACGATGTAATGTAAGGTTGCATCTTAAAACTTCAAAGTGCATGACTTGATGACACTTGTCTCATAATGTGTAAATCCCTTCATGTTAGAGTAGCCAAGGCCCCTAGGTTCAATCCTCATTGCAATGACTACTGTAGGATTTTGAGTTAATTGTATAACCTCCCTCTGTTTTAGTATCCTCATCTATGATAATTATACCTATCCATGGGAGTAGAATGAGAATTATACACTTTCATATTTCTAACTGGCATAGCAGGTGCTCAGTAACTATTATCTTTTACGAAGACTTGAGTATTTTTTTTTCTGAATAGCAAAAAAAGCAACATGAACAAAAGTACATAAAAGAATATAAAGTCATTCCTTTAGCCAGAAGTGAACATTCAAATTGGTTTTTCCATCCACAAAATGATGCTTTTTGATAGGTATCTTATTTCCATAAATATGAATTTTTCAAGAACCATACTATTATTCTTTGTTTTGCTATCTTTAAGCAATATTATCTCAAGATATAAAGGAGTAAAAATAAAATATTAAGCTTCCTTTTGTCATCATATTTTAACTGCCTATTATATTTTTGTATTTTAGAAAAAAATATTTTTAAATTCCTAGCAGTTTGCTTGAAACCTTGTCCATATTTCTTATAATATTTTCTTGATTATTTGAAAAAATATATCACTGAGGGACAAAAGTTTATAGCTTTTTTTGTTGAATAATTCAAAAGATACTTTATGTCTGAAGATGAGTGTTTCAGGAAATTTAAAAAATTTTCTATGCTTTCATAAAAAAATTAAAACCAAGTAAACTTCAAACACATTTTTTAATATTGATCCTCTTTAGCAAAAGTCCACTTTCTCCTATACTTTTATCTTTTAAATTATACTTAGAAATATTTTAAATTAAGTTGCACAAATATGAAGAGTATTTAATGACCTGATTCAACCAGAAAAGGACTGATCCATCTGTGCACACAAAGGCTAGAAATAAATGTGTTGCCACTTGCAGGTATCAGTTGAAAGTCATTCTGATTGAAGAGCACCAACATCCCACTTCTAGAACAGGACAGAAATTAACCAGAAAAGCAGGCAATGTTCCTTTAATCTAATGATGGTACTATTATTACTTAGCTATTTTGATTTAACTGCTTTTTTAAAATTCTACAGTCAACTATATTTCTTCAAATATCCTCAGCTATCCTGTAATGATAAGTAATAATGTGTATCACATCTTGCAATTCTTACCTCACAGGAATGATTCCTTGTTTGAATATGTATACTAACATTTTGTACATATGCACATGTTGGCTGACTCACATGAAATACAAAAGTTAAGGCATCTTCATTATCAATAGTTTCACCCAGTTTGTGCCAGGAGTGCACAATTAAGAAAATGAATAAATGAAAAGATCAAATGCTTTGTAAAAATTCACTTAACCACTGAAAGACGAGAACTGATTCTTTTGACTTCGATGCTAAAGTTCTACTCTATTTGGAGTATATCAGTGTTACCAGTGAAAAATCAAAAGCCTAAAAGAGAGAACTAATTTCTTGTGGTGAAGGCTCTTTTAGGCTAATATGTTTTCCTTGACTACCTTAAGGATTAATTGCTTTTGAGTATTTTGGAGGTAAAATGACACTTAAAATAATTGAATAAATTAATTGAATAAAATAATTCAGTAATCAAGCTAACTAAATTAAGATGATTAAACAGACAAGTCATGTTTCATCATCAGTGATTTGATATATATTGAGAGAGTAAATCATGACACGTTTGCATTGACTTGAGAAAAAGATCACCTAGCAAAACAAGTCAAATATTGATCAGAATATTGTCTACTGTGAATAGTGAAACAATGGGAGGAAAACTTAACCATCAATAAATGAGATACAGGACCATTTGCCATGTAATGTCCATGACATCTTAAACGATCAATGTTATAGTAGTATTTATAATCATTTTAAAAGTCATTAACATTTTGAACATATACTGTCACTTATCAATCTTTATAATACAAATATTTTATCTCTTTTTCCATTTTAGAAAATACAAAATATTTAGAGTTTGGGCCATATAATTTGTTGATAATTGTTTCATAGGTATTTTGGCAAGGTAGTTTAGAATAAATTTACACAGCACCAATTGGTTATATAAATAATTAATGCATTTGATAGTTTACGTAGTATTGTTGGAAGACAATGCTATGCAGTCACTGGTCTTACCTTCTGGGAAAGAACTCTCCACTCGCTGTGTTCCTTGAATATTTCATGAACCGACATAAAGTAATATGCTAATGACAAACTATTTACCCAGTGAGCAGGTGCAGCCTCTGCACCCTTTTCATCTCTGATACACCTTTGATGTGGGGTCAGTTAAACCATTTTGAATTATTTTTCTTTTGCTTCCCTCCCTTCACAGTTTCACCTGAACCTACAATGGTGAGCGAGAGCCATCACGAGGCACTGGCAGCCCCGCCAGTCACCACCGTGGCAACTGTTGTACCACATAATGCCACAGAACCAGCCGGCCCTGGGGAAGGAAAGGAGGATGCTTTTTCGAAGCTGAAGGAGAAGTTTATGAATGAGCTGCATAAAATTCCATGTGAGTATCTTATATTGTTACTTGTAAAAATAAGGGGTTGAAATCATCCACTGGAGGAGGAAAAAAGCAGAACTCTGCTTAACATTTGATTTTTGATGATAGTAATTTGGATAGTGGTATCTTGATAATAAAATAGAATATGTTTGGAAATGAAACATTTTTCTTATTATCATTAAATAAGCTTTATACATGACAATCCAGTTTATGAAAAATTCTATCTTGTGTTTAAGTAGGTTTTTTTTAAAATATTCTTTAATGTCCATTTCTCAAAACAGTATTGATGCTTATAGGTTGTTTTATTTACTTTGGATTTATATGTAGGAAATTATTCCATTATAAAGATTATTCCTAAACAATAGGTACTATTTACTTTCCCAAAATTGTAAGTTTGATTTGCTATCATTTGTCAATATTTTAAACTACTTTGCACAGTTTTTTACAATTTTGTTTGTTATCACAAAAAGAAGAAAAACTTGTAAGTTTAGTAATATGATGGTGGCATGAAGTCATATCAGTGGCCTTTATTTAATTTTATATTTTATGTTGACAGCTAAAATTGTATGTATTGATCATATACACCATGATGTTTTGAAGTAAATTTACACTATAGATTAACTAAATCTGGCTAATTCACCTATGCTTCACTTTACATAGTTATAATTTTTTGTGGTGAAAACACTTGACATTTACTCCCATCATTTGTAAGAATACAATATATTACCAACCACAGTTACCATGTTATAAAATAGTGAGAGAGACAGAGAGAAAGGTCTTCCTTTTGCCATTGGTTCACCCTCCAATGGCCACCATGGCCGGCGCGCTGCGGCTGGCGCACTGCACTGATCTGAAGCCAGGAGCCAGGTGCTTCTCCTGGTCCCCCAGTGGGTGCAGGGCCCAAGCACTTGGGCCATCCTCCACAGCACTCCCGGGCCATAGCAGAGAGCTGGCCTGGAAGGGGGGCAACCGTGACAGAATCCGGCGCCCGACCGGGACTAGAACCCGGTGTGCTGGCACCACTAGGTGGAGGATTAGCCTATTGAGCCACGGCACCAGCCCACTGTATTTCTTAAAGATTGATTTATTTGAAAAGCCAAGTGAGAGAGAGAGAAAGAGAAATCTTCCATCTGCTGTTTCACTTCCCAAATGCCTGCAATAGCTGGTGCTAGACGAGGTCAAAGACAGGAGCTCCATCCAGGTATTCCTTTTGGGTAGCAGGTGCTCCTGTAACTGAGCCATCATATGCTGCCTCCCAGGCACATTAGCAGGGAGCTGGATTGGCACCTCAGGGTAGCCAGGACTCAGATTGGCACTGCAATATGGGATGTGGGTGTCCCAATCAGCAGCTTAATCCACTGTGCCACTAGGCTCACCCCCAAAATAAATCTCTTGAAATGATTCATTTTGGATGAAACTTTTCATCCTTTGAGCAACACCTTGCCAACACCCCTACCCACAGTATCCCCAGCCCCCAGTAACAGCCATTCTACTCTCTACATATATATTTCAATGGCAAAGAGTCTACTTAACATGTTAATTAATGATGGAACCAGTAAAATGTTACAGTTAGTTTGAAAAACAAAAGACATACATGCGGAAAGGCATTTGGCCTAGCCCTTAAGTTGCTGGTTGCAATGCTACAGCCATATTGGAGTCGCTTGGTTCAAGTCCCAGCTCTGCTCCCAATTCCAGATCCCTACTAATGTATATCCTGGGGGACAGCAGGTAATGACTCAAGTACTTGGGTCCCTGCCATGCTGGAGACTTGAAATGAGTTCCTGGCTTAGATTCAGCCTGGCCCAGCCCTAGCTATCATGAGCCTTTTAGGAAAGAAGTAGTAGATGGGATCTCTCTGTCTCTCTCTGCCTATCTGTTTCTCTTTGTCTCCCACCCCTCTGTGTGAATGTGTCTGTCTCTCAAACAAGTAAAAAATAAATGTTTTTGAAAATAGGATCCCTAAATATAAGGGCGGCTCAATAATTATTTTAAAAAGGAGTAGACACAGTCCATCAGGAATGATGAAATGAACCTACAGTCAGGTGAAAAATTGATCGCTACCACTGCAATATCAGTTTCATCTCCTCTGCACATCGCATTTATGTGATAGGGCTTTGTTTGCATTATTAACAATTCCTTCACTCGCAGCATTGTAAAACAACTGGAAAACAACACAAGACAGCATAAAAAAGCATGCTCTAGGCTAGACACTAAATCATCATTTTTGGCCATTTAAAACTCTCACAATTTTTCCTGACAAGATGAAAATGAAGACAGCGAAGAAAGTACATCTGCTTACTCTTACAAGAACATTCTAAAAATTGCCACATATGCATTTTAATGGCTTTAATTTATTGTTTATATATTCCACAAGAAGTTTATACATTTTTTGATTAACATGGTACATATTTATGGGGTACAGTGTGATATTTCAAGACATATAGCATGTGCTGATCAGATTACGGTAATTAGCATTTCCATCTCATCATTTCTTTATGTTTGGTGCCTTTGAGCTTCTCCTTTGTAGTTCTTCATAAAATATTTTGTAGAGTGTTGTGGACTATAGTCACCTCACCATGCTGCAGAACACTAGAGCTTATTTCTTCTATCTGTGTTTTTGTATCCATTATTCCAGCTCTCTCTATGCCCCCTCCCTGCCACCCTTCCCAACCTGCAGTATTTACTATTCTACACTCGTCACATATTTTGGGTGTCCCACATATAAAAGAGGGAGCCAAACCTTTCCATCTATGTTATCAACTTTTTTAGATTTCACATAGGAATAAGCTCATGCATATTATTTTCTGGTTTATTTCACTTAATATAATGTCCTCCATATTCATCCATACTGCAAAAAAAATTCTATTTATGCCTGAAAAGTATTCCATTATGTATACGTACCACATTTTCCTTATCCATTTCATACACTGATGTACATAGGTTGATTCCAAATCTTAGGGGAGTGCAAATATCTCTTAGATACAGAGTTTCCTGAAGATGCATACCCAGTAGTGGGATTACCCGCATCTTGTGCTTCTATTTTTAAATTTTGAGGAGCCACCATACTGTTCCCCATCATGACTGTACTGATTTACATTCCCACCAACAACATGCTAGGTTCCATTTTCTCTACATCTTCACTATCATTTATCTTTTGTCTTTTTGATAATAGCCCTTCTAAAAGGTGTGAGATGATAGCTCATGGTGGTTTTGAGTTGTAGTTTCTTGATGACTAGTGATGTTGAACAATTTTTAGTTTAACTCTTGGGCAACTATATATCATCTGTTAAGAAATGTTTATTGAGGGAGCCAGTGTAATGGCACAGTGGGTTAAGTTTCTACTTGCAATGCCAGCATCCCGTGTCAAAGTACCAGTACAAGTCTTTGATGCTCTGCTTCTGATCCAGCTCCCTGCTAATGCACCTAGGAGGACAGCAGGTGATGGCCAAAGTACTTGGGCTCCTGCCACCCTGGTGGGAGACCAGGATGGAGTTCCTGGCTCCTGGCTTAGGCCTCGCACATGTCTGACTGCAGTGGCATTCTCTCTCCTTCTCTCCATCCTTTCCTCCTTCTTTTCTCTCCTTTCTCTCCCCCCTGTCCCTCTCTCTTCTCTCTCACTCACTGTGCCTTTCAAATAAATGAATAAGCCTTAAAGAAAAAAATAGTGTCTATTCCTTTTAATCAGATGATTTGTTTTCCTCTCTTTGAGTTGTTTTTGTTGCTTACATATTTTAGATATGAACCATTTATCAGATGTATAGCTTACAAATGTGTTCTCCCATTCTTTCAGTTGTCTCTTCACTCTATTGATTATTTCTGTTGTGCAGAAGCTTTTTAATTTAATATAATTCTTTTGTCTCTTTTGGCTTTTGTTACCTGTGCTTTTGGGGCCATAGCCAAAAAGTCATCTTCCTAGACCAATGTCATAGAGCTTTTCCATTATGTTTTCTTCGACTAGTTTCATAGATTTGAGTATTTAAGCCATTCTCCATTGATTTTTGTGTATGATAAGAAGTCTTCTGCATGTGGATTTCCAGTTATCCAACAGCACTTATTGAAGAGATGGTCCTTTCCCTCTTGTCTGTTCTTGGTCACTAAGTTGAAAAATCAGCTGTTTATAAATGCATGAATTTATTTCTGGAATTTCTCTTCTGTTCTAAAGGTCTTCATGTCTATTTTACACCACTGCCTTTTGGTTTTGGTTACTCTCTCTTTGAGGTATATTTTGCAGTCAGGTAGTGTGATGTCTCCACATTGTTCTTTTTGCTCAAGATTGATTTGGCTATTCAAGGTATTTGTGGTTTAATATAAATTTTGATCTTTGATCTTTGTTTCTCTGAAGAATGTCTTTGGTATTTTGATAGGGCTTAAGTTGAATATGTAGATTACTTTGGAGTGTGTACATTTTAAAAAAAAGCAAATTCTTCTGTTTGGTCAACAAAAAAATATCTTTCCATTTATTTCCATCTTCCTTGATTTCTTCCATCAATATTTTATAGTTTCAGTATTATTTTATTTTATTTTTACTATTATAAATGGCATTGTTTTCCTGATTGTTTTTCAAACAGTTCACAGTTAGTACATAGAGTGATGTTGATTTTGTATGTTGATTTTGTATCCTGCAACTTTACTAAATTATTTTATTAGTTTTAAATGTTTGCTGGTAAAGTCTTCAGAGATTTCTCTATATAAGATAATGGCATTTGCAAAAGGAACAATTTAACTGCTTTATTTCCAATTTGGATGCTTTTTTTGCCTGTCTCTTGCTTCATTGCTCTGACTACCAGTATTATGTTGAATACAAGAGGAAAATGTCAACATCTTTATCTGATTCTGGGTTTTAGAGAAAAAAATTTTAGTGTTTCCCTATTGAATCTGATGTTAGCTGTGTGTTTACCTGCTATGGCCTTTTTTTGTCTTAAGATACATTCCTTTTATGCTTAAATTACTGGAGAGCTTTCTTCATGGTAGGATGGTGAATTTTGTCAAATGCTATTTCTGCATTT